GCAAGCTCCTCTGCCAGCTCCCTCAGTATCCTCAGGTGGATCCCATCTGGCCCCATGGACTTGTGAGCATCCAGGAGGAGGAGCAGGTCAGTGACTGCCACCTCTTCGACAACTGCGGCTACATTCTGTATCCTATCTCCATCTCCCAGCTCAGGCCCCTGAAATTCCCAAGGATGACCAGTCTGACTATTAAAGACTGAGGCAAAGAAGGCATTAAGTACCTCAGCCTTCTCATTCCTGTGACTAGACTGTGGACTGAAGACTGAGGAAGCTTGCATCTATACGTAGAGTCTCTGTATATACTGGTTTTTTTTCAAATGTAATTATTTAGGATGTGTAGAACGATCTCTTAAATGCACAATGTACTGGAAGGTGGTGAAGAAAGAAATGCAAGCCACCTTGTTTCAAAGATGCTTTCTTATGCACTATGCAATATTTCTTTTCCTGTAACTAATACCTGTATCTTTTTCTAGATGTAATTTTCTGTTCTTTCATTCCTTAACAAGAAAATGGCTCTGGATCCTTATCTTCACATTCCTTTTACAATATTCACCTGAATTTTTTGCCTCCAGCTGCTGGAACTAGCAATCGACATATTCTAAAAATCAGAGGAAAAGAAAATTGATACTTACCACCACCAGGAGTGCAAGAATCCTGGGGGCTCCCCCAGTGTGATGTTTTTTTCCCATCTTATCTAAAACAAAACAGATAAAATAAAAACAGAGGTGTACATTTTTGTGATCATTGTGACTAAAACTCATTACATAATTCAGGCAGATACCAAAAAGAAAAAGAAGAAAATATTTCATAGTTATGAAAGGCTTTATCATCAATCTGGATGGCTATATGATTTACTTTATTAGACTTATTAACACAGCTGATACTTAAAATAAGCTTTTCTTAGTCTAGGAAAGCATATTTTAGAATTTTTTTTTTTTTTTTAAGATTCTGAAAAGAATTTTATTAACGACGTATTTTCTATCACTCTGCCACTGAGATGTGCATTATTTAAAGGTAAAAAATGCATGACCACACCCCCCTCCAAAAAAAGTATTAAAAAGTACCCTTAAAATGATCTAAAAGATTTTCCAATTTGCACTAAGGAAAACACAGAAGACACAGAACTAATGTTACTGATTCAGCAGGTGGCAGTCTTCCCTCTGCATCCAAAGCGAGCCAGTGTTTTATAATCCTCAAGGAGTGCTTTACTGTTTGAGGTAATGTGGCAAATAAGAGCAGCACCAGTTATAACCCAGTTTCCCACCACTCAGTGAAAATAGAAAGCTAGTTTGGCTTGGTTTGTCTCCGCTGGCAACTTCTCCTGAACAGAGCTATTCTGGCTATGACTTGTTTCCCACCTAGGAAGCCTGGTTTGTTTAACACTGTTTTCAAAGCAAATGCAGTTTAAGAACTCTTACCCTTGACTTCACACTTTTCTTGTTGATCAGTGAAACCATTAGACAACATAATTCATGGTGACAACGTTCTGTCTCTCTGCAATACTTCCCAAATGCTGCATCTTAACTATGATCACACAACCATTTTATTAATGCCATAGTCATTAGTTTGTCCTTAACTACAAAATTAAATAGTTTGGACTACAATAAAGCCTATATAACTCCTGAAGGAGCTCTGCTGCAAATAACTGGAGGTCCTGAAGAAATCCACACAACACTGTACAGAAGAATGTCTCATGTTAAAACTGGGTGAAACTAGGGCGTTGCATGCACTCCAAATTCCTCCAGTTACAAGTACACATAGCATTATTTCCTGTCCAATTTTGTTAAAAAAAAATTGTTCAAACACAAACCATATTCTGCTCTAGAGACAGAAGTAATGGCAGACAAAAAGAGGATTATTTTAGTGAAATGCTTAAACAGCTTCAATATGAAAGGTATTTAAAGATTTATATATAAAAGTACATAAAAGCTTACTATAAAAGGTAGATTCAGTGTTCACAATGCAAGAGGCACTGGTAAAGCTGCCATTTTCCAAAAGAGACTAAAACTTTGATTCTCAACTCCAACTTGATTTCCACATCCAATTCTTAAGAAATTTAAACACATACAAATTCTGTCAATAGCTTGCAGGAGAAGAATTTATATCGTACACCTGAAAATATTCTTTGCACTCATACAAAGTAACCTGGAGTAACTTTGATATATTATCTGAATACAACTATTTTGATATTTAAAAAATATTTTTTAAAGGTAACCTTGAGGCACTATAATTTCTGTTGGTAAATTTGGAAGAATGAACCAACTGTATGGCGCCTAACCCTACCACTCCCATGTAACAGTAGCTAATATATAAAAAGCATCTTTTAAAAAACTCCTGCTGGCAGATAAAAATATTAATAAGAATGAAAAAAAAAAAGTAAAAGCCAAAGCTACTACGAAGATAGTACACACTCTTCAAATACACTCCTCTGAGGCATGATTGCTCCTCACGCGCACTGGGAATGGCTTGGAAGGACTTGTGTTAATCACCAGGAATACACAGTACTTCTGAGAAATTTCAAAAGTGACATAATGAAGAGATGTAATGTACAACCAAAACAAAAAATTGTTCCTGAAGTTGAAAAATCATTCAGTTACGAGTAAAAATTATGTCCATCTACCCTGGACTTCAGGAGAGCAGACTTTGACCTCGTCGGGAATCTGCTTGGTAGTGCAAGGTCCTGCACATGGGTCGGGGCAATCCCAAGCACAAATACAGGCTGGGCAGAGAATGGATTGAGAGCAGCTCTGAGGAGAAGGACTTGGGGGTGTTGGTTGATGAGAAGCTCAACATGACCCAGCAATGAGTGCTTGCAGCCCAGAAAGCCAACTGCATCCTGGGCTGCATCAAAAGAGGAGTGACCAGCAGGTTGAGGGAGGTGATTCTCCGCTCTCGTGAGACCCCATCTGGAATACTGCGTTCAGCTCTGGGGCCCCCAATACAAGAAGGACATGGACCTGTTGGAGCAGGTCCAGAGGAGGCCACAAAGATGCTCAGAGGGCTGGAGCACCCCTCCTATGAGAACAGGCTAAGAAGAGAGTTGGGGTTGTTCAGCCTGGAGAAGAGAAGGCTCTGGGGACACCTTATAGCAGCCTTCCAGTACCTAAACAGGGCCTACAAGAAAGCTGGAGAGGGCCTTTTTACAAGGGCACTTAGTGATAGGCCAAGGGGTAATGGCTTTAAACTGAAAGAGTGGAGGTTTAGATTAGATACAAGGAAGAAACTCTTCACTGTGAGGGTTCTGAGGCACTGGAACAGGTTGCCCAGAGAAGCTGTGGATGCCCCATCCCTGGAAGTGTTCAAGGCCAGGTTGGATGGGGCTTTGAGCAACCTGGTCTAGTGGAAGGGGTCCCTGCCCAAGGCAGTTGGGTTAGAACTAGATGATCTTTAAGATCCATTCCAAGCCAAACTATTCTATGACTCTATGATTCTATGTCTGTGTCGAAAGCCCTCGCTATGTCTAAGCAGTATTCATGCTCTTCAAAGCAGGGCTTGATGAGGAAATTACCCAATTCACAGGTCTTATGCTGGTCCTTTTTAACAGGATGTATTTCATCTTGAGAAATTTATTCAGAGAAGGAGCCTGAGGGGAATATGGAAGTTTGAGGCTTGTTTGAAGGGGTTTTGTTTTGTTTTTCAAAAAATACATACATCTGTCTCACATGGCAGATGTCAGTCTGTCTGATCACAGAGACTGAAAAAGATTTATAAAGAGTTATTAATTTTAGAAAAATACCCTCATTGTCAATTGTATGCATTGAACTCATAACCGGTGATTGATTAACTGAGGAATGCCCACCTTCCTGGTCCATCCAAGCTAATGGGAATTATTCTTCCAAGCCTAGAACCTAACCTCAAGAATAGAAAATACATCGGATAAGGATCAGCTCTTCAAGCAAAACATAGCAGCTGGGATACCAAAGGAAAGATTTTGGAGCAGAACAGCTTCTTTTGTTTCAAAAATGTGTGTACCCCATCTTAATAGCTCTATTCGATCCTCATAAGCAATGACGTGGTTTAGATGAAAGCTAGTTGTGCTAGCCCCTTGCCATTTTGCCAGTTTTATGATGAATTGGTATGAAACAGCTGTTGAGTTACTTCAACCCAGTACTTCATGCCATGTCTCCTGAAAGGAAGTACATTTGCAGATCAAGATACAAGTGTTATAGCCAACAAACTGAAGAGCTCTCTGCTATCAAGAGATCCAGGAAAATGCTAGATGAGCTTGAGGTCCTATGTTTTAGAGATGAAGCTTTGAAGGCTGTACTCAACAAGGACCACAAAGCACAGTTCACCTTCTAACTGAAAGATCAGCAGAGGACTTCTAGACCTTACTGACTCATAGAATCATAGAATCACACAACAGCTCAGGTTGGAAGGGACCTTGAAAGATCATCTGGTACAGTCCTTTTGTAGGAAAGGGAGCCTAGATGAGATTGCCTAGCACCCTGTCCAGTTGCATCTTGAAAACCTCCAGTGATGGGGACTCTACCACATCCCTGAGGAGGTTGTTCCAGCGAACGATTGTTCTCACTGTAAAAAAAAAACAAATGTCTTTCTTGTATCACAATGAAACCCCTCCCTGTGCAGCTTGTACCCATTGCCCCTTGCCTTCTCCATGTGGCTCTTTATGAAGAGAGAGCCTCTGTCCTTTTTGTAGCCACCCTTGAAGTACTGGAACACTGTGATGAGGTCCCCTCTGAGCCTTCTCTCTCTTTCCTCGTAGGGCAGGTTCTCCAGCCCTTTGACTTGTGGATCAGTTATATGAAATTTAAACCAGACACAAAGCATTACAAAAATACAGGAATGCTTAGGACAACAATCTCTCAGTTACCTAGTAGCAGAGTGGATTCCATGATACCCAGCCTAAATTTTCCTTTTCTTAATTTTGTTCCATTACCTCTTAGCCATGTTCCCTGGTAGGTCCTTAAGGAAGGGCTCTTAACCTTTCTCATTTATACATATGTAGATACCACTGATCTCTGTATAGCTCAGACAATCTATGTATGCTTACTATTTTTATGCCCGAACGTTCAGTTTTAGGGCTACTCTGAACTATCTCATCTTTAACAAAATCCACCCAGACTATTCTGGCAGGTGCAGGCTGCCAGAGCAGAGAGGGCATCGAGCCCAAGCAACTATGTTTTTTAAGGAAGGAGTAAACTAATACAAATTTCCTCCTGAGACTCCTCTTGGGTGTCTCCTACACCTGAAGTACTGTCACAACAAGCTTGTCGCAACAGGGCAGTTGCTTCTCAACAGCCATGAAACAGAAAGGATGGAAAATCGTAACTTTCATTACTTTCATTACATCATAAATTCGCTAGAAGACTTTTTTTGCGCTTCTCTTAAGTAATGCTCTCTTGTTTTGATCCCATATGCCAATACTAACGAAAATGGCTGACTCACATGGGGTATGGATTTGGGGTAGAGCTATTTGTAGTTTACAGCCCAAGACTGAATGGACATTACAATGTTAAGACCTGTCTGCTACACAGTGAACTACCAGTTTTTTTCTGCTGCTTTTACCACTTGCCATTTAACTTGTGCATTTTAGTTTATTTTCTCCAAGCTGTGTTAGTGTACAGTTTTCTCAATCTGAAGCTGTCTGCCCAAATGTAATTTTTTCCAAGTTTCTCCATATCAGTGATAACTGCCTCTGGTTCCAACACACAATCATTCACAAGTATTGTCAGCATAGTATTTACTGTTCTGTACTGCAAATGAATGAGGTAAATAAACTCACAGCTTTGTGTGAAATCTAATGGACACCTCACACCAACTCTATATGTTATTTGTCCCTACCCTGTGCTCTCCATATTTTGGCTAGTATCAGTCTTAATTTGAAAGATTTGATATATATTCTCGTATTACAGTCATTCAGACCTGAGAGTTTCTCTGGAACCCAAGACTGAATTAGTTTTAAAAGCTAAGTTTCACGACACTGTATTGAATGTTTTCTAGAAATTCAAATGTCATACCAGTTATACTTCTGCCAACTGCTCATTTTGCAAATATATCATAAAACCAAAATGAGCAAACGAATCTTGCACAATGTATTATTTACAAATGACAGCTGTTTTAGGAAAGCCAAGATGATACCCTCTATTATTTTCTCTCTTATTTTTCCATTGCTTTACCAAAGAGAAAAAACAATTGTCAAAAACATAGTTTACTATAAACATAAACTCATACTACCATAATTCTACCCCTTTTCCTTATCTCTGCTACATGAATTTTCTATAAACACCACAAACAATGCTCCGGGTTCTCACCCTCCCCTCTCCCACCTCCAAAATGTCATCACCAGTATAGTAATTTTATTAGCTCTTGGAGGAGTATCAGTTGAAGCAGCAAATTTTCCTAGTACAACAACTGGCCTATTTTTTTCCTCACTTCTGATCACTATTCAACTATTATTATTATTATCTTAAATGTTCTTGTCAAAGAAAGATTAAAAACAATAATAAATCCAAAAGACCTCAATATGTTTGGCATACAGGTATTTTTGTATCCCAGAGTAAATGTAAAATGCTAAGGAGACGTAATTTACTTCAATCTTCAAAATATGTATACAAAGTCTTTGAAAGATGAAAAATAATAACTATTGTGTAAAGGTAAAAATTCCATTAGCAGTTGAAAGTGGTTAAGAAACAGGACCTAAATGGTTGTAGTCATAATTGATTTGCCAGATGAAAAGAAGTGGTTAGAAGCATAGTAAGAATACACAGAGTTCAAGAGTGCTTAAGAGAATGAGAACTGCAAGTGTATGACATTAGGATGTGAAATACATGATTGCTGTCTATTTTGGAATGGTACATCATTCACAGTTGGAGATATCAACAGTAAGTTAGAAGGTCATCAAAAGAGAGTACCGTCAATGCATTTTCTAACATTCAGATTTATTACAGAAAATAGATGAATCTTTCCCCAGTGTAGCAGCAAGTCACAGAACGGGGATAACAAATCACAGCAAAAATAGCTATGTAAAGGCATGTTGAATGACATGGCAAACTGGCTTCTGCAGAATCGGAAATCTATGCTGATCAATGTAAACAGAAATTCAAGATTGTCACTGCTGTTTATTCTAGACCAAGGTATATTTATTTCAGTTGCACACATTGTCAAGTTGCGTAAGGGAGAAAAGGATGGGGAAACATACCTCTGATAAAAATGTCTGGGCTGATTTCTGTGCTCCTACATGGAGCAGATATTCATATACGTACAGTGCTAATCTGAAAAATAAACAAAAAGGACAACATTTAGTATAGTGCATTTGTTTTTTCCTCTTCTTTAGAAACAAGGGATATTAGAAGTTTGAGGTGCACTCTATTGCCTTTCACAAACCATTATATACTGAACATGTCAAATCTATTATCTATACCAGAACTCTTAAACTAGACATGTAGGTCAATCTGAGCAGAGGTGTTTAAATAGTAGTTAATTAAATATTATTAAACCCCCAAATTACTTAATGTCAACATTTTTAATGCTACTTGGACAAGTGCCCAGTGAGCTAACAACTGACCCACTGCTGCTCTGTGTTTGCCCACTCTATGCCGTGCTTACCATAAATACGATACGTACATAAAGCAACACCAATTATTTTTCCAGATCAAATTTTTTTACATGTGGAAAGTGTCAAGCTGTTAGCATGCTTGAACAATAGCCTGTATTTATTCAAAGAACATGCAAACTTTGGCCTGCATCAGGAAAAGTAATCCCAGCATCCATCCACAGCATGCAGTACAACCACATCTCTCAAGCGACGTGCAGAGCTTTAGATTCATTCAGACTTGTGCAATGAGGAGCTCTGTTGACAACAGAGCTACAAACGACTCTCACAGCTCCCAAAGAAGCTTCCCAAAAAGTGATCTTCAGCAGCCAGGCACATCTCCAACTAAGTGCAAAGAGCTGGAATAAGGATCTCACTGCAGAAAGAGAACTCATTCCCTGAATGACTACCCACTGCAACTTGGGCTAGGAAGCCCTGTTCAGCAACCCAAGAGCAGGGGAGCTATAACAACAACCCATTTCTATTGATGTAGGCTCAATCTGAATTAGAAAACCAAAGAAGTAACACTTCCTATTCCTCAGCTGACTCTCCAGAGAGGGTCCCGTCTGTCTGCATGTTTCAAGTCTTTTCAAAATTAAATCTCATTTAAAAGAACGATTTAATAATAATGCTTGGAAATTGTCTATAAAACATTTCAGTCCAAGAAAAGAAAAGAAAGTCAGGCTGCACATCTTTTAAATTTGCTAGCTGAACTGTTTTTAGAAAGTAAAATGTATTAGCATGCACTTTGTGATACCCCACTATTCTTATTTGAAACATTTTACTATTCATATTCAAAAATATGTAGTTTAACTAAACAAAATAGAGAGGGAGAGAAAATCTGTTTTCCTGTTACTGTTCAAAATGTTATGCAGTATTAGATGAGATCACTGTCATCATGGCCCTGACACAGCAGTAATTATTGCAGTAACCTATGAAGTGTGGAATTTTAAAATCTAGGAGAGGCATATCATAAAAATTGTTTTCATTAGTTGTTTATACTTTGTACATGCAATACACACACTACTTTACTCTCTCTCCAATTTCAAAAGCAAAAATGTATTTTTTCCTCAAATTAAAAAAAAAAATATATTCAAACATGTGACTGGTTTTAGTTTGAAACTTGAGAAGGGTTGTATCCACTTTTTAATTCCAGTATTTTATGAAACAGTTATTTATTAGTTTGTACTGTGCCATATCAACTTTATTAGTTTGTACTGTGCCATATCAACAAATGCAGAGCCCAGTGTGCTAAGCAGAAAACACTTGATTCTTCTAATGGAGCACAGCACGATCCAGTGCTCAACTGCCAGGCAGCTCAGAGAGGACACAGTGATAAGCCTCTGTAAGTACTGTGGAGAGAGGATTATGTACTCTCTAGCCTCTCATCCCAAAAACACAACTCTACAAAAAGAAAAAAAAAGTCACATCTTGTTGACTTAATTCTTCCCAGTTCAACTATTATTCAATTTTTAACCAATAAATGGCTGTAGACAAAATCTAAGAAAGATATAACAGGCAGAGAGGAAGCACTTTCTACAACAGCCAAGATGACTTGAATAGCCAGTAATGCTTTAAAGCATCTCATTTGTCTTCTGAGATTCCCTTTTTTATTCTTATCAAAACATGAAGCCTGCAGTCCAGATAAAAGGATTTGCATGAGCATATCCTTTCTACCCCGCAAAGGAAAGCAAAACAGCGCAAAACCCAGGAGTTTATTGCAGGCATACCACCTTCATAAGTCTGCCATCTGTTGAAAGCTTTAGCAAATACTGCACCATGATAACCAAATTGACAGTGCAATACTTTAATATCAAGAAAGATTTGTGAGTCTCATCTCAGGACTCCTAGAGTCTACCTGCAAAACACAACGCATGCAGCTGCGCTCAAGTGTAAGTCAACATTGCTACCCTGTGCCCATCTTCGCTGGTCCAAAAAATCCAAGATATTTCAACACTGCGAAAAAGATAGCCCTAAAACTTTGACTTAAACACATGGAATGTGCTAATTAAGTGTAATTATAACAACATCTCTAACTCTTTGACATGCATTATTACATCTTGGTCTAAACATACTAGCAGTGAAATGGAATGGTGAAACAACTGTGTTCATTATGTGAGAGGGGTAAACATGGCAGATTTCAGGAAAAGAATAAATATTCCAGGTTTTAGGCTACCAAGTTGATCCACCTGTGGTAAATTAAGAGCAGGACCCTGCTGGCAAGGGGACTGCCTGGCTCCTGTGACAGGAAAGCCAGGACCACCCTCCACAAACAGATGTGAGACAGAAGGCACAACACAAAATAACCTGATTGGGTCTTATTAGATCTAAATCGTTGGTCCATCCCTAGTTATTATGCTGTCAGGAAGTCTTTACAGAAGTTAACAACATTACAGCTTCGTTCAGAAATAAATGCATTTACCACAGAGATCAAAAGAAAGATACTAATGTTTTACTGCATTAGTTGCAGCAAAAAGATCAATGGAAACTGATGCTCTGAGGTAAGACAGCAAAGAAACCCCCCCCAAAAAATGCAACACTGTGTAACAAGAAGGATTACTGGGTATATAAAGTTTAACTACAGCATAAGACCAGAATAAGACAAAAATGGCTACAGTCCAAGTGTGTAAAATTAACAAGTGAATACACTATTTAACATCTGAGCAGAAGACTAAGAAAATGATAGTGAGATGGTCTTCAACAGCGAAGGACTTGGGTTTGAAGTGGCATTTTAAAAGACAGTTTTTACTCATTAAAGTGGTGTGAGAAACCGTGTAAAAGCAGCAAGGAAACATATGTTAAATTTTCACATTTGCATACTTGTTGACATCCCATGAGTAATGTGAGGAAAAAATATTTCCAATCAATTTGCGACAATGCTGAAGTAATTTTTGTTAAAGACATGCTATAGGCCAGAGTCCCCCCTCACTGCTAAGACAATTACATTACACATTCCTCTATGGCCTGATGATACAATCACCCTATTAAAAAAAAAAAAGTTACTGTCTAGCTCTTACTGCTACAGTGCTCATATTGCTAAGCCGGGGTGTTTTGCCTGAAGTTTCTGCTCTAATTAAACAAGGCATTCAAACATCCTACCAGTATCTACTGAACTCCAAAGAGAAGAACCATTTAATCAGTTCTAGCCAACCAGTTATTACCAGGAAATAAACAGTAATCATGCTAACTGTGCTCTGGAAATTACCTTCTTACATGTTAAGGCGGGAAGATGCAATTAGCTTCATGAGAATTTACAACCAAAGCCTTACAGCAGTATGTCCGTTGATGAAAACTAGGTGGTAAACTCCCCCAACTCCAAGTCAAAAGATTAAGACAACACCTAACTTTCCACAAAAGGCAGTGAAAACCTGAAAGCACCAAGATTATGTTAACCTTATCTGGTTTTGATATCTAACTTAGGTGCTCTGAGTTGCACTCCCTGCACCATCCCAGAAAGCTTTATTGACTATATGTAGGGTACTCAACTGGCTGTTCAGGCGAACACAGGCGAACACATGCCTACAGAAGGAGGGGCTCAAGTTATTATCACAAAGTCTTCCAGGAATTAATTTGTCCACAAAAAGTAAAACAGTAGTATCTTTGTTTCATTCCATAAGAAGATGTATACCAAGATAGTTTCTGTCTCTCAATCTAAGACTGAACTTCAAGCACTGAGTTTGGTTTATTGTTATTTCTAAGGAGACAAAGAGCAAAAGGAGAATGGCCACATTTTTCCATGGAGTTCAAAAGCTGGGCTTAGAAGAGTAAGGAATTGCAATAAATTAGCTTCTGTTTTCTCTTGAAAGCTGCCTAGTAAACCTGCCAGAAGCATGCAACTATTATACACAGCTTCATGCAGTTGAGAAGTGCAGTTGCTTTCATTATTTTATTAGTCACATGTCATAACTAAAAATATATGTAATTTAACTGAGGGTACAGTGGTGTATAACCATGATCCAGAAAGTTGTAACATCAATGTGATGGAGAAAGAGCCTGCAGCTCTGCAGCTTTGGCAGTGTGTCAAAGCATGGTTCAGGTACTGCATGTACCTGCCTTCTGCAGCACCAACAGTAGCTTATCACTATGATAAGCAACTGCTGCCTCTTTGCCACAAAATCTACGATGGTGAACAACTGCGCGTCACAGAAATGTCCCTAGATGCTACCACCTCCTCCACCAGCAATAGACATTATGCTATTAACATCTCATGATTGTCAAGACTTAATTTTTTAAAACTGTTCATGCATGGAAAGTTTTGCATATGACACCATCCATTTAGATTTTGTTTCTTTAAACAGTAATTAAAAAAACACAATGAAAACTAGTAAATCAATATCCATACATAATTTTTAGTCAGTGTGAAGAAGAGTGAAGCAGCTGAGCAACATTTAAAAGCAGCTCCATAGAAAAGATCTTAAATGTTCATCTCTGTGTTTCAGGTGACTTGCAGTATTCCAAAATCACTACTCTTACACCGAGAAGCAGCTTTTTTTTGTTGTTTCCAAAAAGGTATATAGACTTCATTTCAAATCCAGAGACTCCTAGGAATCTCACTCATTTAATATCCAAAATATAAACCTCATTCTCTGAAATAAGAGAAAGTAGCACTGAATCCATATTTTAAATATAATACAACAGCTAAAACCCTCTCAAATTTGAGGTTTCCTGAACAAATTTTCT